CCTGCTGGCTTTATAATTTTAGATGTTCTATAATTCCTTTTTTGGTGTTTAAAAAGGGTATTTTAAAGTGTAACAGCAGAAAGCAATTACAATCAAAGTTACATGAGAGAGCATTTAACTGCTGCATCTAACTGGGGGTGCTTTTTTCAGATCTGAGCAGATACCATTTCTTTTTATCCAGCATTTCCACTGCCTACTAAATCTGCCCTTCAAGTTAGTAAGTTTTCAGTAGCTAGTAGCTGAGTAAGAACACCTTTGTCTGCATTAGTGATTATGAGTTGGTTATGTTCTCCTTTGCTGATTGAGTAAGAACAACTTAACTGTGCATATTGGGCTACTGTTACTTAGTTTTTTAGTTTTTCCTGCGGAATTCATTCTTACACATTCTGCTCATAATTCCCTTTCTCAATGGAATAGGTTGCCAAGGTTTGGCATAGCAGTAGAAACTGCACCACTTCATTCTGGTTCATTCTCTTGCTGCTGTAGCCTGTGAGAGAGTTCATGAGCAGCTGTTCTTGAATAAGGGAGAGCTGGAGAGGCAGGAAGTGATTTAAAGAGACAGACATGCCATCCTCTGTGAAAGAAAACTAATTTCACCTTTTGCCAAGACCAGCAGTGTTCCAGTACATTATGCAGGACAAGGAACATGAAGTCCGTCTTGTCGGCGGGGGTAGTTGGAAGGTTGGATGTCTCCCTGTAACCTTCAACAAGTAGGCTGTCTTTATGAAACCTTCTTTTCTGTGTGCCTCTTCTTGACCTAGCTTGTCTTTTCATAATGTAGTTTTCAGAGCAAGGTTTGTTCTTACCAAACATCCACACTTCTGCTGGGACTTAGATAATGTATTTAATGACTCATTTGGACATCCCTGCACAGCAGAGCAGTGCAGCATATTCATACCCAGGAATGGACCGATAAGGGAGAAGTGAGGAGGCAGGACTCCCTCCCATCTTAAGTTCTCCAAACCAGCTACAGTCCTGCATGTTTCCCTCTTTCCCTCTGCCTCCTTTGTCACTCTTGGCAGACCTACCTCTGGCTGTAAGCCTGTCTTCATCTGTGTGTACTTATCTTTCTTCCATCTACATCTGTTTCAGTTTAATGTGGGAAGCATATTTAGCCTTGCCCTCTTCAGATAATTGTGTAAATGTTAACAGTTTGTTTGTTAGAGTGTTTAGTGCATTAGAGTTTGTGTTTCTCTTTTAGAAACATTGCTCTATTGTTCCGAAGCTTTCCAATTAGTTTTTTTAAATTATTTTTTAGGTGAAGTAAAAAGCTTTAAATAGTAGGAAATTAAGAAGTAGCTGTAATAGAAAAAGGTTCTTAAAAGTTCTACTCGGAACAACTATTGTAGGACTGGACAAAAAGAACAACATGAAATTATACTGTTACTGCTGTATACCTGTACCTACTTCTGTCTGTTACAGAAACAAGCTTGTACAGTGAAATTAATCTGGTTTTAAGAGTACTGCTAATGAAGGCCAGTTCTCTGACATTTCATTAGAAGGAAATACACCGTTATGCTAGAAAGAGTTTCACTGCAAATACAAAGTTTCAGACTTCTGATCAGATAGCTGATTTACAAATACACTTCTTAGGAGAAGGTAGTCCTGCCACTTGAACGGGGCTTTGGAGTTAAAGTGTGTGCCAGAGTACTTTTGTTACTCAGATTTATAATCCTTATACTCAAGTTTGTCAAATGATCTGGCACCTCTGTATGTTATACAGAACATCCTGCCGAGCTAATTGCAACATTGAGGTAAGCACACCGGCGTAGTTCAAGCAATTCTAGAGACATTTCTAATGATCCTTCACTGCTGTTCCTTCAGTTAACACTGAAATTCTCCTTTTTCTTCCAGTGTTTTTTGCTCTGCTTCCTGGGATATATATATTCCACACGAAGGCCAAGTAAGGTAAAGCCAAGTGAAGCTGCACTGCTTTTACTGCTGATTTGTACCCATTCATGGTGCTATATTGAGATGCACTATATTGAGACACTGGTTTAGATACATACCAATGTCTGCATTATCTCCAAAGGGTTTTGGTCTCTAGAGGAGACAGGAAATTGTTATCCCTGGATAAACAATTCTGTGTAAGCTTAAGTTAAACTATTTTTTATTTTTTATTCTGTAATAGATAACATGCAGGTTACTGTAAAATTGCAGCAGTTATGTATGTAATTGTGATGGTGTGTCAAATGAAAAACCTTTTATTGTAAAATACACTTTCTACTACATGTCACTGATGGGTCCTTTAAATCTTTTGGGGAAGATTTCTTTGTTTTGAGCATGATGGAGACAGCCAGAAGCCATCCAGGCTTGTTTCTTTGTTTCAATATTTATATTCTCAATCAGTTTTATGTAGAGGGCCAGATGTGTGGTCCAGCATGCCCCTTGTTTCTACATGTGGTCTCAGATTTAACTGTTCTTGGTCACCAGAACTTGCACTACTATACAGGTCCATTTCATATTCAGCAGAATACAGCCAGAGTCCAGTTGTGAGCTGGCAGATCCATGATCTGTAGCTCAGATGGAAGTATTTCTGTTCCTAGTGACAGCATTGCTAGGAAGTTATGAAGGTCACTGAAAAATCTCATGGTTGTATTGCTTTCAAGGACAGAGTTGGTGCCTTTGGATGATGTTCTGAGGAGACTGTGAAATTAGTTGGTGATCTCAGTGCTGAGCTCTAGTGGAAAGGAACAAGTGTCAGCATTGCAAAAGCAGCTACACACCTGCAGTTCCTGGCAGCAGGAGAAATGACTCTCTGGACAGAGCAGACACTTGTTCCTTTTGGCTCCGATAGAAGTGAGGTCTAAGGAGGCAGAGGGCGATGACAGTGTGATCTGGCTATTATGGAACTATTTCCATTTTGAGGTAAACAAAAATGGCACTTTTACAATCACAAAAAAAAAAGGAGACTTGCTCTGAATTCTGTTTTTCCTCCTCTCCCACTTCCTCAAATGTTTGTATGTATTTTTTCCAGAAATACTGATTTTGTTCCTACAGTCTCACAGCTGAATAAGGAAGTGACCTTCTATGGCCGTTTTCCCACCTTGAGGCAGCACAATTGATGTATTTCAGTTGCAGTTCATGTTTTATGTTTCCTGGTGTCCTCACTGAGTCACAATGGTGTGAAAACTGTATACATTATCTGTGTATAATATACATGTGTGTATATATGTGTAATTTTTTCTGTTTCTTCCATTTCACTTAAATACCTGAAGATACAGTCAGAATTTCACAGCAAGGGTGGGAAAGTTAAGTTTCTACCCCCGTATGGTGGGTTGACCCAGGCTGGCAACCAGGTACCCCCCAAAGCTGCTCTGTCACTGCCCTCCTCAGCTGGGCAGGAGAGAGAAAATATAACAAAAGGCTCCTGGGTCGAGATAAGGGCAAGGAGAGATCAATCACCAGTTACTGTCATGGGAAAAACAGACT